TCACAAGTTCCTCTTGACACTTCACACTTTTCTTCTTCCAGGAGCACCTTATCAGAGTGAGCAGAGGCCAGCACATGCCCACTCCCGCCCAGCCTCACAGCCCGCTTTCTTACTTGACTCCAAGTATAGCCCAAGGGATTTTCCCTTAAAGAGTTGCCCATCTCAGCCTCCTGCCAAAGGCCTCCACATTTTTACCCAGTTACTTGTACAGATTGACAGTTCTGTCTTGCATCTCAACCCTTATAACTGGTCAAATGACTAGAACCTGTTAATGTTAAGCTGTACAAGGCCCCTGTTTGTATTTAGTTAAAACACAAAAGTTAGAGGTGGGTGTGTTGGCACATGCCTTGTGATCCCARTGTCCCAGGAGGCTGAGGAAGGAGGATCACAAGTTCAAGACCAGCATGACTCTATCTCAAAATACAAAATAAAAGGGTGGGGATGCAGCTCAGTAGTAGAGTACCCCGGGATTCTATCCCCAGTACTGCCAAAAAAAAAAAAAAAAAAATCCTACTGGGAAATTATTCTGTACTTCATTTCCCTTTCTAGCTTCTCTTTTCCTTGGCCCCTACAGTCAAAGATTAAAGTATAATCAAAAAGTTCCCCTGAATTCCACTGACAACACACAGGAAGGCTGAGCAAAGTCTAAAGGTGGAGGGGAAACACCCAGCTCAGCCACCTTTATGACCAAGCTTTACTGCACATCTCCGCCACGCCAGCTCTCTAGAGTTGTCAGAACAGCTCACTGCCCTGATGACATGGCACTCTGCGGCTTCCCCAGGGGCTGATCTCAACATAGCCAACCTATATTCCTCCTTCTGCCCATCCAGTCAGCAATGTCTGAAGGCATGCAGCTTCCCCTTTCCCTTCCTCTGCTGGCAGATGTTGTAGCTGTGGCAGGAAACCAGAAAGCATGTTAACACAGCTGATAAAGGCACCGGAAGCTAAGGCAGCCTTTGTGCTTAAATTTTTTTTTTATCTTTTGAAGGAAAAAGTCTGCTGTGCGTGAAATACTCTGGCTATATATAAAGCCCATCCATAGCACCGCTGTAGGAATGAAGCCCAGCCTAATGATTTTGTCCTAGCCTGCTCTCAGATCATTTTCTTTTTAAGTCTGTTCACTTAGGACCCACAGAAGGACTCATAAGCATCCCCTAATACATYACCAAATCACTCATATATGAAATGTCCTCAAGCCAACAGAAGTTGATAGGAGCTGGTAGCATCAGCATTTTTATCTTGGCATGTTTTTATATATGTGCCCGATCTCATCTCTGAAGTTAAATTATACTATCTAACAGAAAGCCATGTCTGTGTGCCCTATTGTCAATTATGTAATTCCAGAGTACAGCTGGCGAACTACTAGCTTTAACTGAGAGCTAATAATGTAGCCAGGTGTTGTGGTACACACCTGTAATCTCAGCTACACGGGAGGCTGAGGCAGGAGGATTCCAAATTCCAGGTCAGACTAGGCAACTTAGCAAGACCCTGTCTCAAAATAATAAAAAGGGTTGAGGAAGTACTCAGAGGTAGAGTGCCCCTCAGTTAATTATCCAATACTGCAACGACAAAACAACACAACAAACATTAACAGACCCTCATTAAAAATTAACAGTGCCACAGAAGTCCTGGGAACATCACTGTTTTAAAAAATAAAATGGGTGGGCATTCTGAAACTACTGCTACAGCAGAATGCTGTATCTTTGTATAACTTCATTGTTAGTTTTAAAGGATGTCCTTGGGAGGATCGCGAAGCAGTCTGGTGAGCTGGAGAGCCATGCAGATCGCCTTTATGACTCTATCCTGGCCTCTGTGGACATGCTGGCTGGCTGCACCCTTATCCCTGACAGTAAGCCAGTAAGCAAAGGAGCGCCCATGTGAAGGGGTTTAACCCGGTAAGTAGAGGAGCCCAAGAAGAAAGTCTGCCCTGCAGCCCTGGTGCTGATTAGGGATTAGAGCTGCTGAAATAGTACTGGAGGAAGGCTGCCTGTGGTGCTGAAWTAGGGGTCACTAACACAGCCTGAAAGGAGGGTGTGAGTTTTCCTGTAGCAACGAAAGCCCATTTTGGTGTCTTCCTTACCTGGTTTCACTCCTGCTGCCTGCTGAGAACAAAAGTGCTCTGTGCACCCATCTTTATTGCATTACCTTCCCCAGTCCTAGCCCCCAGCAGCAAAATTGTCCATACTTAGTTTGTTTCTGCACATGAACGCCTCTCCTTTATGGGGCTATGGTCAGGTTACCTCTGCCCTCAGGTTCTTCTCACCAGCTTATTTGATGCTCCATCTTTAAGCATTGCTGACAGCACTAAGTGCCCATGGAAACCTAGARTTACTGCTACTTCTCCCAATGTCCCAACCCCCTTCCCACAAAGGGTTTCTGCAAATTTCCCACACTGCTCCTTCCAAAAAGGGCTGGGGGACAGAATAAAATACATCTTGGAGACTTACATAGTACAACTTTCTTTTTATCCCTCGAAAACTCAAATAGGGAAAGAGGAAAGGAGGTAAAACAAAAGAGGGGCTAACTGGTACCAACCTTGGGTTTGCACTGCCCAGAACATCGTAATTTCGCAACGTTTTTTCTGAAATTTCCTCTCCTACAAAATGATTTTCTAGATGTGAATTCACTGTAGCTATGTCAAGAGCAGGGAGTCCCTGCATTTTTACATCAAAGCAATTTTAGTAATTATCTTAGTTCTGAAATGGATACATGTGATTGCTATTATTTCTTCCTGCAACATTATGCCTGTAACAAATGCTGCTTTCTCTTTCAGGCATCTTTGCAGGCAGAGATGAAATTGTCAGCCAAAAGTTGACTCTTGGGAAGGAAACTGTCAAGAAGTACTTGCAAGAGCCATTTAACAGTTAAGTCAAGGGAAAAATGTTAATGTATTTTTAGCTTTAAATGCCTTTCTCTTCTCTGAAGTAAGGGCTATTAAATTACTGGTTTTATTTACAAAGAATCCTTCCAAACTATTCTTTTTGGTGCTTTTCCACAGAAAGCATGTGGCTTTGCAACTTTTATTAAAATAAGATTTACAGTTACAGGCCTTGCCTCCCCTATGTCCAGTTTTAAAAAAGAAAAAAAAAAGACAGAGCTCCTAAACTCTTCTTCCTGCTGAGATTATTCACAGAAGCCTGCTTTGAGAAAGAAGGTTCCAAATACTTGGTATTCTCGGACACAAAAAGGGGTCAAGTGAGGCTTAGTAAGTTCCTTTTTGAAAATTTTAGCCCTCAGTCTGCAGAAGAAAAGGGGTAAATGAATAGAACTTCTACAGATTACTTTGGGCAATTGTGACATCTTTTGCCATCTTCAGGGCTTGGGTCTCCACCTTCCTGGCCTAGTATCTTAAAATAAAATGTGCCTGGGAATTAGAGAACTGCCATTGTGCTTCAGCATGGCTAAGGAGCTAAGGATCAAACTTAGGGTATCTCTGGGAGGAGGATCCTGTTCCTCCACTCCTACTCCCTTGGAAGACTAGTGCAAGGTCAGGGAAGTGAATGGATAGGATCACACCGCCTGTTTCACTACAGAAACTAAAAGTGTCAATAAAGGAAAAAAGGGAATTCTTTGTTGCTTGGGAGTTGGCCTGTTAAGTACCTTGTCAGAAAAGGGGAAAATATGCATGGATATAAATATATTTAAAGCATTATCTGTAGCTTTTTKAAGCAAAGCAGTGTTTTGCTAGTGACCGCAGAATCTTAATTTTGACATTGAAAGAATATCAAAGAAACAACATTAATAGGATCCTATTCAATGTGACTTTTCTGCCTCTACATTTCTCAGACTTTACAGTCACTGGAAAATAGCTGTAAGTTCTAATAATGAAAAGTGAACCATTCAAAATTAACTAACTATTCAGAGCTGGGGTTGTGGCTCAGTGGTAGAGCACTCACCTTGCACCTGTGAAGCACTGGGTTCAATCCTCAGCACCACATAAAATTAAACAAAGGTACTGTGTCCATCTACTAACTATTCAATAGTAGCTTCACAAAAAATAAGTTCTTAAAAAGATAGGTATGCATCACTGACATATTTACATTTGTTAATGTAGCTATAAAGTGGAACATGCCTTTCACTGAGTATGTTGCTGTTAATGAATTAAACCCACCCACTTAAATCAGTCTGTATTAGCATTAAAAAGTTGGGATAACCTTATAAAAACAAACTGACCAGTATATCAATTGAATTCATATTGTGGCATTCGTCAGCTTCAGCTGACAAGATATTCCAAAATAACAGAATCTGAAAATTCCTACTTCCCAAGAAAATGGTGCTTTAGTTTTAAGTGATAGATTTTGTTCATCCTCTTTGAAATAAGTTGTGGAATAAGGTGCTAACTTTCTGAACCTGGCTCTAGCCACTGAGGAATATCAATATAACTGTTAATTTTACCTTCAGTTTGAGACCTCCCTTACAACTCAAAAACAAATTGTTTCAACCTAGGAAGATGCTGGCCGGGTTAGATTCAAGTAGCCATCCCTTAATGATGAATGGAATTTGAATCCACAGTGGAGTTGCAAAACTAAAGGGTGGATTGGGTTTTTGTTGTGCATCCAGGGTGAAGTGCTAATAAATGAGAGACTGTTACAATACAGGGCTGTTCTAAAACTTAAACATGAGCATGAAGGGTTTATGTGAGATACAGTGGAAAGATAATGTACATGCTGAAGAAGATTTCTTCCTATCCAGCAGACAGCGAGTTAACTGCTCAGACCATAATCACTATTACTCTGTAATGACTTCCCAGAGTGTGCCACAGCTCAGAACACTCTTCATTACCTAAGCTAATTTATGGCAGCCAGTTATATTTAAAACATAGCAAGTGATAATTCCCTATATTTGTGAACAGGCCCATAGTAACCTTGAAATGTTTGTACTTGAAATAGGGTTAGAAATGGGAATTTGTTTTTCTCAAAACCATAATTATTGGTATATACATAAAAGCAAAGAGTACAGCATGCTGAAATATGTTGTAGTCCCAATTTTTGACTGCCATGGGGGGAAGAACACTACAGTTCTCCCAAACTAAGTCTGTAGATATGCTTACATATTAAATTCATGTAATGTTTTTCTGCTAACTCACCAAGAATAAGCTAACCATTTAAACATCTTTTGCTGTATGAAACTAAAGTGCATGGCATCACATTGTCTAGTATCAGTTTTATATCATTTAGCTATTTTAGAAAATATTTTCTGAACTTTATACTGTATTGATAAGGCAAAAGAAACTTTTTTTTTTTAAAGCATTAAAAACAAGATATTCACCCAAATAACTATTGGTGACTTCAGGAATTTGTCAGTTGCCTTATGTAAGGATGAATAGATCCAACAAGCACGTCTATAATACAAAGTAAACTATGATTTTATTGTGAAATTCTCATAGATGGAAAATTAAATTGAATATTTATTCTGTCCATTTCATTTTTACAATAATCTTACCACTTATTTTTGTACCATGTATTTCAATTGCCTGTTTAGTGAAAAATAAAAATTAAAAAAACCTATAATTTTTGGCTTGTTTTTTAACTTAAGTTTTCTCATTAAAGACCCCACAATAAAATGTGTTGCCAACAGCCACATCCCAAGCCCATATGTGAAGAATGTTTTGGCTGTTGCTTCAACCTAAAGAAACAGTCCTTGACTTCTGTCACCTTAAAATGGTAGTGTCAGCAAAAGACTTGTTTTCCACAATAAAAATAAAAACAAACCCTAGAATCCTGAAGGTCCTATTTAACAAAATTTTCACACATGCAAAATTTCACTGAAATAAATATATTTTTCTCATTTATAATTCCCACCCAGCATTTATGTTTTCAGTTAATTTTTAGGGATATAATTTCTAAAATTAGGGCACTCAAGTTTCCTGCTTTCTCCTTTAATGCTTAAACTCTCCAACATGAGTTATACAATTGTGAAGGACAAAATAGTTGACATCTGACTCAGAGCATGGAAGAAACTTCAGCACACATTATCTGATCATTTGCCAATTATGAAGGGTGTGCCGCTCTTCGCTGCTACCACAGATGAATTAACAAACTCTTGATCAGTGGAGCCATTTCAAATGATTTTAGAGAAGCATCAGAGATGGTGGGGCTAGACAGCATACATTCTAAACTTGTTTTCCATACAATTTGAGCTTCTTGAACCACTAAAATTGATTAAATCCCTACACAGCACAGAAGCTGCCCTAGGTCATTTATCAGGTCTATAATCTAGAAAGCAAATAACTGGATGCTGCGCTACAGGTAGGTCTACAATGCCCTGGTTGCACACACAAATGTCTGTTTTCAGTATAATGCAAGGCTCTATTTCCCTTTAACCATAAGAATTAAAACAATACTTATCACCATACAGTTTGATATTACTTCCAATAAGTACAATATTTATTAAACATATCTTCAGTTGTTTTGTTACATAGTGTGCAACAAATTACAATATTCTGCAGCCACAAATTATATGCAGAGTATGAAGAAACTATTAATCAGATAGTGTAATCTTTCCATTTATAACTCTACAAGGAAGAACTAGCAAATCAGATCTTACATAGAACATCTCACTAAACTTTATGCATGGAAAGTGACAGACACTGGTTGTGCTGTTTGATACAAAATGGCTGAACTTCATCTTCAGAAGACTAAACCCAACATCTAAACATGCCAATATAAACATCAAAACAAAATATATTCTAACCAACCACGGGAAACAGTCTGGTATCAGGAAAGCAACAAGGATTACACACATTATTTTATAAACCAGCACACAAAGGTTTAAAACAGTTCTGAAAATGAAGTTAGCTGTCTTGAGTCAAGGGAATAAAAAAAAAGTCAGTATTGACCATTTACAATCTCTGACCTTTGTGGAGACGGTAAGAATCTGTTGTAGTGCAGCTACATACAGTACAATTCAGGCAATTTTGTTTTTTCACTTGGGTTCAGATTGCAAATTCATTGCTGTGAGAAAAGGACGGAGGCAAATTTTAGCAGCAACCTCCACCTGACTGCTTGACTGGAGTGCTCTGAATTTTAACATTGGACTTCTCTGCGCCACCAGCTGTTGCTCCAGGGCCCATTCGCTTTTTAATCTCAGCTGCCATCGTCATGAAAGACTGTTCTACATTCGTTGCGTTCTTAGCACTGGTTTCCAAAAATGGGATTCCAAGGGAATCAGCAAATTCCTAAGAGAAATAAGACACAATGAACATTGAAAAACCTTTTTCACTTAGTCCATTTCTGCCATATAAAATGTGAGGAAAGTCTAAAATTTCACTGGATCCAAAGACACTACATGTACAACTGTTGTCAGTATCCTAGTATACATTTTTAAGTATTAAGGTGGTTGGTTGTATGGCCATCATGTGACTTCGTATCCATTCATAATTAAAATTCAACAACTTCAAATTCAATTTGAAAATCAAACTTTAAACATACCTTTGCTGTTGTGTAGTCTACTACTTTCTTTGTGGTCAGATCACATTTGTTCCCTACCAACAACTTGTTGACATTTTCACTAGCGTAACGATCTATTTCCTGCAGCCACTGTTTAACATTATTGAAGGACTCCTAAAAAGACAGATATTTTTAAGAATGATCATACATACAATTCTGGACAGGATAAAATATAAAAATATTAATAGAGGAAAATACAGCTCTACATTTAAACTAGCAAACCCAAATTGTTTTTGAGATGTGCAAATCAAATGTACTATAAAGCATAGTTTTTGAAATTCAATAGTTTTGATTTATGAATAAGTGTTAAGTATTACTCCCAGATGCATCAAAAAATGCTATTTGGGCCAGTGCAGTGGCGCACACCTATAATCCCAACAGCTTGGGAGGCTGAGACAAGAAGATCGAAAATTCAAAGCCAGCCTCAACTGTTGAGAGGCTATGCAACTCAGACTCTGTCTCTAAATAAAATACAAAAGAGTGCCCTGAGTTCAATACCCAAATAAAAAGGGCTGGGTATGAAGCTCAGTGGTGTGTGCCCCTGAGTTCAATTCCCAGTACCCCAAAAAACGTTACTTGGGCTGGGACTGTAGTTCAGTGATAGAGGGCTTGCCTAACATATGAGGTCCTGGGTTTGATCTCCAGCAAAAAAATATACATTTTTTTTTTAACATCTCAGTAATTTGAAGAGACTTTCAAACTTAGCACTCTTCCCCAGCTTTTCTGGAGATAGGATCTTGCTATGTTGCTCAGGCTGTCCCCAAATTATTGACCTCCCATTTTAACCCCTCCTAGTATCTGGGACTGCAGGTGGGTGCTGTGCCACATAACATTTTTTCTCTATGCTTCTAATGGCACTGAATCTGAATCTAAGTGTAAGATAGATATCTCCTTAATTCACAGCTGAGATGAGATTTTAAGATTTAGCATTTGCTACAAGAAAAATGAATTGCAGGGCTGGGAATGTTAACTAGCTCAGTAGTGGAATGCTTGCCTAGCACGCACAAGGGCCTGCCACAAATAAAAACCCAATTTTATTGGGTTTTTATTCTTTCTCATAGGGGAAAAAAAAAAAGTGATCCTGAAATCTGCTAAGTTTCTGATCAAAAGAAAACTTAATAGCCCGTGGACCACATTCTCCCCACATCTTCCTGACTTCTTTCAGACATTCACTCTACTAAAATCCTCTTATAGCATATTCCATTCAAATTCTGAACCATAACCAACACATCTCACTTTTGGCAATTCTGATAGGAAGASTCTAATCACCAGGTATATTCTTGTTTCTTTGTTTTTTAAATATTCTTTTAGTTGTAGACAGACACGATACCTTTATTTTATTTATTTTTATGTGGTGCTGAGGATTAAACCAGTGCCTCACATGTGCGAGGCAAGCACTTGCCACTGAGTCCCAACCCCACCCCAGGTATTCTTGTTAATATATAAAATGAAGATTGCAATACAAGAAACCATACAAGCCATAATTCCTTACAATTCTTACCTTAGATCATTTATTTAGTTGTTAATGACTGCCAGAGTCTCTTGAAAGCAAATGTAAAAATAATTACTAAATTGTCTCTTTACTAAAGGGAAATAAATATCTAAATGATTCACTGGGGGAAGAGAGGGCAGTACTAGGAATCAAACCAGGACCTTGAGCATGCTAGACAAGAGCTCTACCACTGAGCTACATCCCAGTCCATGATTCACAGTTTTATCTGAAGAGAGTTGTGGCCTTTTTAAGTATCAGGGATTGAACCCAGAAGTACTTAGCYACTGAGCCACATCTCCAGCCTTTTATTTTTTGAGACAGGACTCACAAAGTTGCTTAGGCCCTCGCTAAAGTGCTGGGATTAACAAGCATGCACCACTGTGCCAAAGTGAGAAAAATCTTCTGCCATAAAAATAATATTGATGTCTTATATTAAAAWAAAAGAATCTGACATTAGTCAAATAGTAACTTCATGCTTTGTCACTATAACACCAACTTCTCTTGGAACTTACCTGATCTGTCACATCATACACAACTATGATGCCATGGGCTCCTCTGTAATAACTGGAGGTGATTGTTCGAAATCTTTCTTGGCCTGCTGTGTCCCACTATTGCAAAACAATCAAGAAACCAAACAGTCCCATTAAAACAGAGTTGGGGAAGGTTCAGAAGGGAAAAYAATCTAGTTGTACAGATTATCAGGATGTGATATGGAAACAACAGTCCTTAACATTCACATTAAACTGCACTGCCTAATACATGGAAGTCCAGAAAAGAAAGTAATGCCTGCAATTTATCCCGTGGTAATGCTATCAAAATTATAAGCTCTTTGTGAGCACAAACCATATTATGCTATTCATATTCTGTATAGCGCTTAACACTATGCTAGGCACACAGGTTGACTTGGTTAAGAAAGGGGCCCAAAGCCCCATGAACAGAAATACACCCTCATGAGGCAGAGTTAATGGCTAGCATGTTTTATCATCATAGAAAGAAAGAAAAGGATCTACTTCAGGTAGATCAAAATACTCATCAAAATAGCATTTTAACCACTGCAGCCAGGTACTATCTTAATCCTAGAAAAAGTAATGTATCAAAGACACTTACATTATAACATTAATACTGTGAATTTTAAAAAAACTATTTTGAAAAATACCAAGAAGAAAACTCAATTTTTAAATTTACAAAGCCTTGTTTTTTATGCAAGCTCAGTTTACACAAGCACAAAATTGTGTAAACTATACCCTGGTTCTAATCAGCCCCCATTACTGTCTCTCTATAAACATCAACATCCATGACCAAGGGGTTGCTGTTTCTCCTTCTAGAGATAGCCTATATTCTCCTTTGAATGTGTTGGTGCTTTCCAAAATAAAAATGTGTGCATGTCTAGAAAAAAGGAGGGGAAAAAAAGGACCTGTTTATAACAGGATACTGGGCATTTTGTTTGCTCCTAAACAATGGCCTCCTCTTTAAAAGTGAATAATTAACCAGGCACCATAGCCCATGCCTGTAATCCCAGCAGTTTAGGATACTAAGGCAGGAGAATCACAAGTCAGCCTCAGCAATTTTAGTGAAACCCTATCTCAAAATAAAAAATAAAGGCTAGCAATGTAGCTCAGTGGTATAGTGCCCATGGGTTCAATCGCCAGTACCCAAGAGTATATAATTAGAATAGTTACTCTACCATAAGTTACTGATAGGGCTGGGGAAGTAGCTCTGTATTCTAACATGCCACAAAACCCCAGGGTTTGATCTTGAGCACATAAAAAGACCCCTGTAATTCTGGTAAAATTTGAAGACCAGCTGGATATTAACACATAAGTGTTAACTTTGTTAAATGTGATTTTAAAAAATAGTAATAAAGTAAAAGACAGTTGCATTCTGGAGCAAAGAAAAAAATCACAATGTCTATAAATTTGGGGGGCAGGGCGTGGTACTGGGTATAGAGCCCAGGGGCACCTACCACTAAGCTATRTCCCAAGAGTGTTGCTTTTTTTTTTTTTTTTTTTTTAATACCAGGGATTGAACTCAGGGGCACTCAACCACTGAGCCACATCCCCAGCCCTATTTTGTATTTTATTTAGAGAAAGGGTCTCACTGAGTTGCTTAGTGCCTCACTTTTGCTGAGGCTGGCTTTGAACGTGCAATCCTCCTGTCTCAGCCTCCTAAGCCATTGGGATTACAGGCATGTGCCACAGTGCCCGGTTACCCCAAGCCATTTTTATGATTTTTTTTTTTTTTAATTTGAAAATAGGGTCTCACTAAATTGCTGAGACCAGTCTTTTTTTTTTTTTTTAAGAGAGAGAGAGAGAGAGAGAGAGAATTTTTTAATATTTATTTTTTAGTTTTTGGCAGACACAACATCTTTGTTTGTATGTGGTGCTGAGGATCGAACCCGGGCCGCACGCTTGCCAGGCGAGTGCACTACCACGTGAGCCACATCCCCAGCCTCTCTGAGACCAGTCTTGTACCTGAAATTTTCCTGCCTCCTCCTCCCAAGTCGCTGGGATCAAGGCATATAAGGTGGTGACCACACCTGGCTTGTAATTTATTTTAAAATACTCAATCCTCAGAAGAAAAAAAAAATGCATATAATGAAGCAAATAATCGAAAAGATTAACAGTCATTATCTAAAACCAAAAACAGGAGGCTTCATTTCTTTTTCTGTCCAAATTACTAAGTCTGAGAGCTCAGAAGACTAATTTGAGCTATTGTTATCAGTAAGGAGCCTCAAAGTTTTTAAGAATAACACTGGAGAAGCATGACCTCTGAAGTCAAGCCAACCTGACTACAAAAAATCAAATCCAATTTCATGGTTCCTGTTAACACCAAAGAATCATTTACCAGTTTCTTCAGCTGTAAATCAAAGATGCCACTCATCTCATGTAACTGCTGAAGTTTAACTAATGTTTTAAAATGCATGGCAAGGTGCCTGACTATAGAAGCTATTCAGTAAAATATTAATATTTCTTTCCCTTCCATGCCCAAAGACTCCTTTCACAAGACAGTATAAGAAAATTTTCTGACTAAAAGTTAACAAGGAATTATAGCTAACTAAAATAAGAAATGGCATCTAAAGAGTACCATTTCTGATGACTCTTTGCTACCCTGAAGATCTTCCTGACTCAGTACACCAACAGCACTAATAGTACCCTCTCATTATCACAGGGTAACTGTTTTTTCTCTTCAACTGAAACATGATCTTATGACTGTTTTTCTCTGTAACTTCAACTATCCAATGCCTGGTATAAATGTAGGCGTTTCCATATTATGTTCCATGAATGAATGAACAATTACAGAAAGAGGCCTTTCTATGACTAGACTCCACACCTATCCTATCCTACCCAATGTTTTGTAAAATGTTTCTTTAGGGAGGGTTGGGGARGGGGGTRTTGAACCCAGAGGCACTTTATATYACTAAGTAAGCCACATCCCCAAACCTTATTTTTTATTTTGAGTCAGGGTCTCAATAAGTTGTTTACAGCCTCACCTAATTACTGAGACTGACCTTGAACTTGTTATCTTCCTGCCTTAGGAGTCTCTGGGATTACAGGTGTGTACTACCCATGCCCAGCTAAAAAAAAAAAAAAAAAAAAATCACTCATTTCACTAAAGACCCAGATGTCACAATTGAATAAGAAAAGCTGAAATGAAAACATAATTAAAATATAAGTCAACAGAATCAAGAGTGTGAAAGACCTAGAAGAATACCTGGAAAGATAAATGAAGCCAAGCAAGATGAAATGTAACAGAGTTAAAAGTAAAATTCTGCATGCAGATTTTAAAAGCACTAGTCACAGAAATATAAGATAAAACCTTTTTCTTTTTTGGTACTAGGGACTAAACTTAAGGGTACTCAACCACTAAGCGACATCCCTAACTCTATACGGTCCCACTGAGCTGCTTAGCACCTYACTGTTGCTGAAGCTGGCTTTGAACTTGAAATCTCCTGCCTCAGCCTCCCAGCTGCTGGGACTACAGACATGTACCACCACACCCAGCTCTATTTTTTTTTTAAACTAAAAACAAGCAAACCAAAATTTTAAGATATGCATTACTAGGGTAATATGGCTATTGGACAGCAAAAGTAAACTAACTTTCTTTTTATCTCCTCCAGAGGATTAATGATGAGGAGGGACATGAGCCCCTAAAGGCCAGAAAGAAAACTTTGTAATCTTGAGTTACAGGTTTTAAAAACATATGCTCCAACAAGGAATGGCTGACCAGCTTTAGAGACAGAAAGGCTGTATGATAAGCTCAATCTACATGGCAGCCTGCACCAGCAGACAGGAATCAGTCTGATTCAGGTAGCTTAGAAAGAGAGAAGTAAGATAAAGGAAACTGGCTTTAGCTCAATAGAATTAAAAATTAGGTTATAAATAGGAGTAGATGCTTTGAAAAATGATGAATTTCCCAAAAATTTAAAAACAAAACAAAAAAACGTAGTACCAGATATGGGAAGGAAATTCCTAATGAAAATGAAAGGCAGAATGAGTGACCTATAAGATCCTTTCCAGGCTTGGGATATATAGCTCAGTTGGTATAGTGCTTGCCTCGTATGYACAAGACCCTGTTTCAATCCCCAGCACCACCAAAAAAAAAAAAAAAAAAATCCTTTCCAGCCACTGTCACCTAAACAAAATGTGAATGTTTCACAAACATACACTCAAATCTTATGATGATATCATCACACTCATAATAATCCTTAGCTTATAGGCTTAAGCAGGTCTTTTTGCAGTATTCTCTACAATGGCACATATAAAGCTCATACTCTAGCTATAATGTGAAAAATCAATATGGAAAGTAACCTGTTCATTGGTTCAAAACATTTCAAAAGCTATTTCTGATAACTATATCCTTAGAGTATCAGTATCAGCATCTGGGACTACAGACATGTGTCACTTTGTATTCACTTGTACCAAAATCAACAGATCTTTTCCCATCTACCTTCCTTTCCTCAATACAAAAATAATAATAAAAATAAATAAAATAATAAAAAACCTATCAAACATCCATTTATCTGAACATGCATCAGTAACATCTAAATAGTACACAAAAGTTCAAAACAGGCATTCACATCTCTCATACTCACCTACAGAGCTACTACATTTGATTCTCACAGCTATCTTATAAATTGATAAAAAAGTCTGATGATACCTAATTTTTTTTTTTTTTTTTAGAGGTACTGCATATTGAACTCAGGGCTGCTCTACTAATGAGCTACATTCCCAGCCTCCACCTCCCGGCTTTTTAAGACAGGGTCTCACTAAGTTACTAAAGTCTTGAATCTTGAACTTGTGATCCTTCTCTCTCAGGAGTCATCTCTGGGATTAAAAGTATGTGCCACAATGCCCAACTCATCAGACTCATTTTAGAGAGGAAACTGAATTATCAAGGGAAATAAGTTAAACCCACAACTAACATAACTACCAGAACCAAGACAATAAATATAAACTCTTATTCAAAATTCAAGACTGCTTCCAGTTCACTGTGGCATCAGCTTCAAGAAAAGAAGTTACTGGTTTTCTAGTTTATCTCATACTAATAGTCAACTCTAAAAGATACTGGCATTTATTTTTTTAAGTTCACATATATGACCACAATGGTAGCACCAAGATCCATATTAAAGAAATGCAAGTAAACTTACAACTGCCTGCATTTAATTGGAGGTTGGGGATTGATATGGGGGTTAGGATAACCTGGGARCACAACATACTGAAGACAGAGATATAGGTCACTTGGTTCTGCCAGTAACTTTAGCCAATCATTAAATCTCTCAGCATCCATTTTCTTAGAATAAAATGACCATGTTAATTTCATGGTCATTTTAGTCTCAGTTTCCTTCCAACCAAATTTTATGTTTCTATAAAATTGGTGCATACTATCTAAAAAAGTAACTAAATAAATACTTCTTTTTTAAATAATTTTATTTATTTATATATCTTTATTTTATTTTTATGTGGTGCTGAGGATTGAACTCAGTGCCTCCCGCTTGCCAGGTGAGCGCGCTACTACTTGAGCCATATCCCCAGCCCCTAAATAAATACTTCTTTTCAACAAAACTACCTATGAAGTGCCTCTCCTAGGTTTCTTTTAATGTTCCACAGCACTCTTACAAAGTCATACAGAAAATGCTCAGTAACACTTTCACCATAGACAAAGTAAACTTAGCTCTCCATCAATGAAAAGAAAGTGAGACTAAGACCAAGTTTGACTTAAAATGTGAAATTCTCTGCCTTATAAAAATCCTAACCCTTGGAAATTATTTTTAGTCTAAACAATTATTCTACCATCCTATCACAGGTGCATGATTCTTAAAGATATTTTGAATCCAATTTTGTCAGTATTGAGAGGCCCCGAGTTCAGTCCCCAGCACAAAGGTCTGAACAAACAAGGAGGGAAGAAGAAAGGATAAGAAGGGAGAGAAAAATGTCAATGAGAAAACTAATCCTAGGAAATTATAAGTATCAACAATTATTGTACCACACTTATCATAAATGCATGACTTAAAATACTTTTCTGTTCAATTTTGTTAACATATTAAATATACATGTATAAAATASTACATTCTAAATTTACCAAAAATTTTCCCAAAGGAATTTCCAACTGAAAGCCACTTACTATTTGAAGCTTGATTGTTTTCCCATCTAACTCTATAGTTCTTATTTTGAAATCCACACCAATTGTGCTGATGTAGCTTTCTGTATATGTGTCATCCTGCAGTGGGAAAAAAGTTAATAATGAACATTGTTCAGTAAATTTTTAAATGTTTACTTTTACCTACAGTCAAAGTTTATTCTGTTTTTGTTTTTTGTGGTGCTAGAGATAAAYCTCACACATGCTAGGCAAGCAATCTACCATGGAGCTTCATTCCTAACTCTGAAGTTAATAAAGTTTATAAAATGTTGACAAGAGCCCTCTACCCTGGCTCTAGTACTCACTTCATGTTCTGAAGACAAAGTGTTGACTAGTTAACAGTAGTTTCTTTTGTCCTTAAGATTTTTTCAATAGCAAATCATTTTGTTCCCAAATACCTTTTTACCAATTCCTTACACATATCATAAATAAAAATATTTTATAAGTGTGATTATAAATGATTTTTCTATTTATTCCATCCATACATCCACCTACCTACATTTCTGAAATAGGATCTTGCAACATTGCCCACACTAGTCTCTTGAGCTCAAATGATCCCCCCACCTCAGCCTCCCAAATGCTGGGACCACAGATGCATGCCCAATATAAATACTTTCTCTAATTGCTATCCAGCAAAACTCTTGCTCCCCACCCACCCAATTTATTCAYCACAAAGTATGATTACACTTCACTCCCTCCTGGATTTTTTTTTTTAAACAAATCAACTGTATTTGCTAGTTATGATTTTTCCCCCAGTACTGGGGACTGTACCCAGAGGTGGTCTACTACTGAGCCACATCCTCAACCTTTTCATTTTTTAAGACAAGGTCTTGCGAAGTTGCCCAGGTTGGCCAAGAAATTCAGATCCTCCTGCCTTAGTCTGCTAAGCAGCTGAATTACTAGTGTGCACCATAGTTATGGTGGGGTTTCTTTTGGCTGCACTAGAGATTGAACACATTGTACTAGGCAAGCTCTCTACCACTGAACTATTATGATTCTTTAAATTGATACATAAGGCGCAAAAAACTCACCCTTCTAAAGTATACAACTGGACTTTAGTATATAAACAAGTTTGCATAATTGTCACCAGTATTTAATTTCATAATATTTTATGACCCCAAAAGGAACCCTATACTCATTAACAGCCCCACAGCCCCTCCCTATTTCTACTTTGTCTCTGTAGACTTGGACATTATGGACATTTCATATAAATGGAATCACATAATAYATGGTGTTTTGTGTCTAGTTTCTTTTACTTAGCATGTTTTCAAGCTTAGTCCATATCGTAATATATATCAGTACTTCATTTTTATGGATGAATAGCATTCCATTGTATGAATACAACACATTTTGTTTAACCACTCTTAGATATCTGGGTTGTTTCCACTTTTTGCTTTTTGTGAATAATGCTACTATGAATTTATGTACACYAGTTTTCGTGTGAACATTATTTGTCAATTTTTTAACCCAATGTTCAACTTTTAAAATTGCACCTGTTTCTCTAAAGTCATAACATTTTACTCAGAATGAAAACACTTTTAAGTGGGGGAAGGAAAAAAAAAGTATTTTGTGAAGCCAGGTAAGGTGGTACATCATGCTTATATTCCAGCAACTCAGGAGGCTGAGGAAGGAGGATCATAAGTTTGAGGTCAGCTTGGACAACCCAGCAAGACCCTGTCTTAAAATAAAAATTAAAAGGGTTGAGAATGTAGCTCAGTAGTAGAGTATATAAGAAAACGTCTAAAACCGAGTACAGTGGTGTACACCTGTAATCCCAGAGACTCAGGAGGCTCAGGCAGGAATATCTCAAGTTTGAGGTCAGTCTGAGCATCTCAGTGAAACCCTGTCTCAAAATAAAAAATATAGCTCAGTAGTCAAGCACCCCTGGATTCAATGCCCAATACTCCCAAATGAAGAAAAGACAATCTCACTCCATTTGAAAAAATGTCTGCCCAGCTACCCAATTCTGCGTAACTACAGTTTATCTGTCAACTGGTTCTTTAATGCTTAGAGGGAAAAACCCAACAACAACAACAACAAMAAAGCTAATTCAACTCAAATCAACTATTCTAATACTTTTCTGAGACAACCAACACACCCTAGTATGCAGTGAAGTGCTTTATGTGTACTTCCTATTTCTTCACAMGGGTCTTTAAGAATCAAATTTTTTTAAAAAATTAATAATTTTTACTATTTTTGTTAAGGACATTCTTAGGTGAAAATGGCTTTTCAGGTTTGGGGAGCATATCAGTGCACAAAGGTGAAGAATATCATGACTGTGAGTACAGTTTGGTTTTTAACACTACCTTAATGTGTACCCAAGATGCCAGCAGCAGTTTTAACCACCAATGCTTTTGCACCATCACAGCAAATATCAGCACAGTGAAAAAGGTAAATGTTTTTTGTTGGTATAGTTCCTAATTAAATATTTACTTACGGTTCAGTGATAAAAGAGATTGCCTAGCATGCATGAGGCCCTAAGTTTGATCCACAGCACCATAAAAAACAAATCTAACATTAGAATACTATTACAAAGACCCTGAGAGGGTCTTGATAACCCCTAGCAGTCTTTAGTCCATATTTTAAGAACCAAAGATCTATACAGTGAGAAGGGAAACATGCTAAATTTAAAGGTAGTTTTTAATCATTAAAAATTAAGGAGACTGTGGATTGTATTATGCCAAAAGTCATATTTCTGTGAGTTTCTGCATACAGAATGCCATGCCATTGTCCAACAAAGTTTCTACTAGGTCCTACTTTTTCTCTTTGTTCTATTAAAATTTAACTTGAAGGTTTCTTTTCATGTCAATTTCAACACAAGCCAACTATTTCCCCTTAACACCTATTAGAATGAATCACTGTGTGACTTCTACCAAAATATCAGACACTCTGATTTTATAACCACATTTTGGTGTATTTCTTTAAAGGGCAACATTTATTTAACAATACCAGTATACCACTAGGGATGTACAACTGTAGTTTTAAATGTGTATTAATTCTGGAAGAAATAAATTTACTCAGAATAAAAACCTTTTGTCTATATAGAAAATACAGCATTAACTGTATTATTATAAAACATTTTAAATTCAACTTACTGCAAACCTAAGGAGGAGGCAAGACTTTCCAACCCCAGAGTCGCCAATCAGAAGTAACTTGAATAAATAATCACTGCAAAAAKAAAAAAAAAATCACATTAATAAAAAGTATATTGCATTGTAATTTCCATAATGATAAGAACATGGTTTTTAAAAATTAAAAAAATCTAAAAACAACAACACATGGATAATATTAACAGCTCACTGTGAGGACTATAGCTCCTGAAAAACCCATGGGATGCTTAAAAGAAGCCAAAACTAGAACCAAAAGCAACTCTTACTAAACATGACAGAATTACATAAAAGGAAGATAGTCAATAAAACCCATGTCACTGAGACCCCTGAACTTCTTCTTCCAAGGAAAAAATGAAAGGAAATATATGTGATACACATTCCTGAAGAGCCCAAACAAATTCCAGTTCCTCTACAGAATTAGAAGAGAAAGTCAAATGTCTATTGTTCCAACCAATGAATGTATTAGGGTTTCCTTCAAATTCCAAAACCAAATCATTACTTCATGACATTCCTCCAATGAAAGGGATTTTATGWTCCTTTCCCAGCATCCCACCTGGAATTTTCCCTCAAAAAACAGATCATTTCTGAAAGACAATATTATAAACATTTTGTTAGAAATGTGATAAAACCAAAGGTGATTTATTCAAGCTCAGAACTTTACCAACATTCTAAGCTTGTACTCAAACATCCTTCAAAAACACTGAAAGCTAGACTCTGCCTATGTCCTCTATTATTGCCAGGTCTAACTCAAAAACCAGCCCCCAAGAATTCCTCCTGGGACCTGAACACAACAATAGATTAGGACTCCAAAGAAATCATAAATCATTACCAACTCAGACAACTTCCATATGTTCTCAGCAAATTAAAAAAGAGCAGGGGTCTTAGCTCAGTGGTAGAGCACTTGCCTACATGTGTGAAGCACTGAGGTCGATTCTCAAGGCCACATATAAATAAAGGTCCATCAACAATTAAAAAAAAAGTTTAAGAAACATTCAAAAGGACAAGAGATCAAGAATTTACAAATTCTTTTTTATTGACAAAGTATATATGGTTTTCAATTTTCTCATTTTAGTTTTAAAAGCTAGTATCTACTTAAAGGTGAAAAACAAAAGTCACAAAATTTAAATTAGGTTATATTAGCATTATTTACATAAAATGTAAAACTTTTAGAACTGATTATCTGTGAATATTCACAGAATGTTACCTAGGTTTAGAGTAATAATGCATTATTTTAAATATCAATTTGGTTTTACCAAATTATGATATGCTTATTATTCCTAATTATAACTGAAGAATTAAAAAAAAAGTTCTAGCAGTAGCAAAATAGACATACAAAAGGATATTAAAAGCTTAGWAATAAAGATATTGTGCCCACCTAAAACTAAAAAATAAATTAAAAGCTTAGTAAATCAGAAGCACAACTAGGGTTGTAGCTCAGTGTTACAGTGCTTGCCTAGTACTTGTGAGGGCCCTGCATTCAATCCCTAATGCTACAAAAATTAAAACAAGAACAGAATGAATCATAGTATGAACTAAATAATTAAAATCCTTTCAATTTTAGATTATTTGAATAAACAACCTGAGTCATCTGTACTGAACCCCAAGGCAATAAAAGGACTGCATTAGGCCACAGATGATGTCTAAGGTATGGTACCATAAAGATCAAATTCTCTACTTTCAGAGCAACCATAAGGCTGGAAAAAACATGAATACTTCCTAATTGTTACAAGTAACAAAGCTTCTAAAACTTAGATTTTAGTCTTAAGCAATGGTGCATGCCTATAACCCCAGCGACCTAGGAGGCTATAAAGCAAGTGGATTGTAAATTCAAGGCCAATCCAAGGCCTGCCTGGGCAACTTAAGACAGTATCGCAAAATAAAATTTTTTAAAAGGGCTAGGAATGTACTGCAGTGGTAGAGTGCTGCCTAGTATGCAGGAGGCCCCAGGTATGATCCCCAGTAATACAAAAAGGGAAAGCAAAAGGAAGGAGGAAAGAAAGAAAAAGTAAAAATCTTTAAGTCACTTTTTTCAGTTAATATTAAAGTTTTAAAAACAGTATTTTTATTAGAGAGATGAGTTTCTAGACATTTCTGTAACTATAATTTACAAAACAACATTAAAACTGTCATAGAAAATATACAAACCTAGTAAGCGAGGTCCAGTGACACATGTCTGTAACAGCAGCAGAGACTTGGGAGCCTGAGGCATGAGGATCACCAAGTTCAAGGCCAACCTCAGCAACTTAATGAGACCTTGTCTCAAAATAAAAACTAAAAAGGGTGGCTATGGAGGATGAGAAAGGAGAGTTCAAAGCCAGCCTAAGCAAAAGCAAGGTGCTAAGCAACTCTGTGAGACCCTATCTCTAAATAAAATACAAAAAAGGGCTGGGAATGTGGCTCAGTGGTTGTGTGCCCCTGAATTCAACTGCCAGTACCCCCCCACACCAAAAAAAAAAAAAAGGTTAGGGATGTACCTTAAAGGTAAAGCGCCCTTGTGTTCAATCTTTACTATACCCTCCCCCCACAATAAAGCACACAGGAACCAACCWGAAAATTCGCTCAATGAATAAGCCAAAATAATTTTGAGCCACAATCAGGTATGGTGGCACATGCCTATAATCCCAGCAGCCCAGGAGAATGAGGCAGGAKGATTAAAAGTTCGAAGCCAACTTGAACAATGTAGTGAGGCCATAAACAATTTAGGGGAGACTGTCTCAAAATAAAACATAAAAAGGGTTGGGGATGGTCTCAGTAGTTAAGCACCCATGGGTTCAATCCCTGGTACCAAAATAACAWCATCAACAACAATGATAATTTGAACCACAAAGTAAACAACCATGTATTGCTGGATTGTAACTCAAAGAACAAATACCCTTGAATCTACACTAGTATAAATTAAACAAATGGGAGAAGAGGGGGCTGTGGCTGTAGATCAGTGGTAGAGCACTTGCCTTGCATGTGTAAGACACTGGGTTCAATCCTCAGCACCACATAAAAATAAAGATATTTTTTAAATAAAATTTTTAAATGGGAAGAGACAAATCTTCCCTAATAGGAAAATTCCCATAATATATGTAGAAGAAATAAGAGAAATAGATCAATAGATCTCCACATTATTAACTGCTGTGTGGGGGATCTACTGCCAAGTAGCTTTAATTAGTGGAWAAAATTTAGAAGGAGAAGCAAGATACAGTGGTGCATGTGTGTAATCCCAGCTACTCAGGAAGCTGAGGCAGGAGGACTGCACATTCAAGACCAGTCTGGGCAACATAGTGAAATCCTATTTCAAAAATTTTTAAAAGGGTTGGGGATGTGACTCAGTGGCACAGCACCAGCCTAGCACACTTAAGGCCCTGGGGTCAATCAATCCCCAGTACCACAAAAATAAACCTTAAAGGAGAAACAGGATATTTGCATAGCAAAGAATGTCCCCCAAAGTGTTTATTTCTGGTGGCTTTAACATATCCCACAAGTTATTTGACTATTCCTCCCACAAGGAGGAGTGAACTGTACAATACTTGATTGGTTTCTAATAAACAGTGTTATCAAAAGGAGAAAATTGGGGCTGGGGCCATAGCTCAGAGGTAGAGCTAGAGTGCTTGCCTCACACATGTGAGGCACTGGGTTCAATCCTCAGCACCACATAATAATAAAAATAAAGATATTGTGGGCTGGGGATGTGGCTCAAGCGGTATCGAGCTAGCCTGGCATGCATGCGGCCCGGGTTCGATCCTCAGCACCACATACAAAAACAAAGATCTTGTGTCCGCTGAAAACTAAAAAATAAATATTAAAAAATTCTCTCTCTTTAAAAAAAAAAAAGATATTGTGTTCATCTCAACTAAAAAATATTAAAAGAAGAAAATAATAACTTCACTGTGGAGAAACCTGACATTTCTTTAAGTATGTGGTGAAGGTGGGGCTGGGGATGTGGCTCAAGCGGTAGCGCGCTCGCCTGGCATGCGTGTGGCCCGGGTTCGATCCAGCACCACACACATACAAATGTTGTGTCTGCCGAAAACTAAAACATAAATATTAAAAWTCTCTCTTTAAAAAAAAAAAAAAGTATGTGGTGAAGGTAATCACCAGTAATGTTCCAGTAATAAGCCCAGAAATAATTTTCCATTAATGAGAATATCATCAGTATGACCAGCAATTATATCACATTGACATCACATGTCTTCTGATGTGATATGATGAAGACTTCTGTGGTTCCTGTGTTATTTTCCAAAAAAAATCTATAAACCCCATCTAATCATGTGAAAACAAACACAAACTGATGGACATTCTATAAAATCCAGTGCTTATTAGCACTCTTCAAAAGTGTCAAGATCAGCAACTTGAGAGGCTGAGGCAGGAGGATCTTAAGTTGCAGACTAGCCTCAGCAATTTAGCAAGGTCCTCAGCAATTTAGCAAGATCCTGTCTCAAAATAAAGATTTGAAAGGGGGTTAGGGATATGGCTCAGTGGTACAGCACCTCTGGGTCTAATCCTCAGTACAAAAAAAAAAAAAGTGTCAAGATCATTTTTATATTGTGTGCATGTACAGATATGTAACAACAAATCCCATCATTATGCACAACTATTATCCACCAATAAAAAATGTGGGGGAAAAGAAGAGTTAAGATCATGAAAATAGGAGAGATTAAGAAATTCAGATTGAAGGTGACTAACATAACAAAACACCTAAATACAACATGGTATTCTGAATTAGATCCTAGCATAGTAAAAGTAGAAAACTGAAGAAATTAGTATAAAGTCTACATTTTAGGGAGCAATGAACCAAGGTTAATTTCTTAATTTGACAAATGAGCCATGTACACAAGATGTTAATATTGTGGAAAGCTGGATGAAGAATAACACACAGGAACTCTCTACATTGTTTCTTCAACTCTTTGATGAATCTAAATTTAATTCAAAATAAAACAGTTAAAGAACCACTAACAATRATGAAGAAATGAACAAAATAGGTACCAACAACAATCCCTTCAAAAAGCAGCTCCTGCTGGGCACAGTGGCACACCCATGTAATCCCAGCAATTCAGGGGGCTGAGGCAA